GAAACTCAAACATGGCACCACTGACTAAACCTTCCAGCAGGCTAACAATGTCCTTATAAACATTAGAGGAAAGATCATACAACTCACTGTTCTCCACCTCATGGATCAGTTTATCCTCATCAGTTCTTTGGCAAGATTTTCAAAGACAACAGACTTTCCTGCAGTATTTCAGATGGAAATAATGATTTGTATCTGACCTGTTCTCTAAATCTCTGTTCTGCAGAAAGCAGGTCTCAGAGCCCCGCCTCCTGATGATGACGACTCATCCAGTGCTCAAGACTATGAGAATATGACACTGAGTTCGAAATGTTTAGCTGTAATTACAAAACACTCCAACTACATTTTAGAGAATGCAGAAAGCAAGTATTGACACAGATCTCACTCCTTTAAGATGAAGTGAATTATTTATCTACTCTTCATTCTTTCACTGGTCAACAGACATGATAAGGATTATTCGTCCACCTTGAGTGTTTTGTTGGGATTTAATTCTTTATTGGGGTTTCATTCTTGATATTTATGAATAGACTATGACACAAAAATGGATTACTAAGAAAGTTTATTTTTATTCTGTGAAGAAACAAAACTGAGATCTAGCACTGCTGCACATAAACACTACTGAATGAAGTATCATAACACAAAATGTTCAGGATGTTTACACTGGAAGCATATTCATCAGACAAAACATAAACTATGAACTTATCAGCCAACAGCTTAAATAAACAAGTTTTATATATGTGATTTACACATTTTAAATCAATATCAGAAATTCACAATACATTAAATCATGTGACCAAAAACTTACAGCAGGCTAACAATGTCCTTATAAACATTAGAGTCATACAGCTCACTGTTCTCCACCTCATGGATTAGTTTCTCCTCATACGTTTTGGCCCAGTTTATCTGTGTTTTGATTAAAGGTAGCAGGCTTTACTGCAGTGTTTGAGGTGGAACATCAGTGCAGTCCAAGTCCTGGTGTCCTGAGCTGAAATATGACCCATATTGACCTGTTCTCTAACTCTCCGTTCTCAGGATACAGGCCTCAATGCTCCACCTCCTGATGATGACTCATCCAATACTGATGACTATGAGAATATAACAGTGAGTCCCAAACATTAATGTCTTATTACACTGTAATTACACCACAATCCATCTGTATTCTTAGAGAAAAGGAGAAACAAGTGATGACACATATTATAGTACTTTAAGATGAAGTGGATGATTTATCTATTCACCATTCTTTACTGGTCACTGGTAAGGATGAAAATAGCAATATTTTTAACACTAGTTCTACATTAGTGTAACTGTACAGTCTTGCTTTGCTATAATTATGTTAAAGTGAGTGCTGTACTGTGAGAAACACTGAAGGCAGTGTAGATCAGCCCCTCAGTGTGAATATGTCACAGTATAGCATAGCCTCAAGTGCATTATTGTAATTGTACCACATATCACAGATTTAATTTTTGATTTTTAATATCTTGGAAACTTGGAAACTTCTTGCAGGCCAGCAATGCCGTTATAAACATTAGAGGAAGAGCCATACAGCTCACTGTTCTCCACCTCATGGATTAGTTTCTCCTCATCTGTGTTTGGCCAGTTTAATCCTGTTTTGACAAATCATGGCTATCTAAACAGTATATAAGGTGAACACCAGCACAATGCCTTACAATGTGACATGTCAAAAACAGAAATGGGGTGTCAGTGACAATGTGTAGTAAAGAGTAAAAGTGCTTCTATTTGCATTATACAAGGTTTTTCATTATAAATTACATTATAGTGTGGGGGGTAAATCACTCTTATTTCTGGGGGGAATACATATCTCTTTAAACCTCAAGCACAGCCAGAATCAGGACCTGAACCTGGATGATGGTGGCCACAGTACCTTCCCAAACTGCTTTCACACAACCTGAACATTAACATCACATACTTGAAAAGGCAACTGAAAACCTTTACTCAGTGTTTTAGGAACTAAATACGACCTGGTTAAGCTTGTGCAAAGCATCATGGGAACAAAGGCATGCTATAGCACTACAATATTGCTGGCAAAAAATATGCATAAAAAAGATTTTTTTATTTATTTTTTTTTTTTAATATGTGGTCCAGTTTGTCCACCTTTTGCTTTAAAGACAGTGAGCACTCGAGCTGGTAAAGAACTCCACAAGTCTGTGTAAAAGCCTCTGATGAGCAGATCAATCTACCTAAGAGTGGTCCAAACATGAGCTTTAATGAAAAGATAAGAAATAAAAACTCTTCTTATATAAAGGCAGTAATGTGGTCAATGTCACAAAACTTGCTTACATTTGAATAGTGACCTAAAAAAAAGTGCAGAATATTTCTTATTTTTAACTTGTCTTCACTCTTCTTTGTTTTATTTTTTTCAAATGTCTAAATCTTCTTGTTTATTTTCAGGCTTAAAATGAAGATCATCCCAGATTGTCCATGGGGTCTCAGACTTTTCTCAACAAGATTCTCTTCTTTTCAGATGGAACTTACATCATATGCTTTCCTCGGTAATATCACTCATTAAAATGTCATCAAACTGTATCTGTTCCTTTTACACATTCTACATTTTAAGCTTGTGCTCTCTTATTTCACTGTTTTATTCACAGTTCCTCTAGTTTTGTCCGTATATCGTGATTTTTACTTTGTGACATTTTGTCTTATTTTATCATTTTACAGTTGTAATTTTGGGTCATAAATGAATAAAAGTTATATATTCAATGTTTTTATTAAATGTATATTTTCTTATTATTGTTATTTTATTATTATTTCCATGACTACATGTGACTGTATGTGTCGATTTGCACAATAAATATCCAGTTTCTCAGAGGAGAGCGCCCTCCTCCTGTCAATTCACAAACTGCAGACAGAGACACCAGTGATGAGGTCAAACCTCACAGACTCTTAAAGTGGCAGTAAAGACACTTATTATACCTCTGAATAGAAAATATTAAAGAAATATCTGGTAACATTTGAAAAATGTAAATAAATTTACATTTTGCAAATGAAAACAGAGCAATGATGTGAAAATCATTTAAACTTTTAAATTTAAACATTTAAATATTTTTAATCAAAATAGCACAAAGAAAGCATATCAAATGTTGAAACTGAGAAATTGTTTTGTTTTATAATATACATACCCATGTTGAATTTGATGCCAGCAGCACATTTCAAAAAAGCTGTGATGGGGACGTGTTTAATGCAGTGCTGCCAGAGGGCCTGAAGTTCATGACCAGCCAGTATTGGTTTTCGGTCTTGTCCTTTACAAACAGAGATTTCTCTGGATTCTCTAAGTCTTGTGTTCTGTACATGATCTTTGCTCTTTTATATTGATAAACATTATTCTTGAATTGTTGCATTATTTATGTGTGCAGTCTTTCACAGAGTGGTGAACTCCTCCCCATTTTTACTTCTGAAAGCCTCTCTGAGATGCTCTTTTATATCCAATCATGTTACTGACCTGTTGCCAATTATCCACTAGGTGTTTTTCAGCATTACAGAAACATTATCAGGCCTTTGTCACCCCGTCTTTACTTTTTATTTACTATTTTATATACATTTTAACTTATTATTTTTCATAATATGTTTAAATGGTCAGGTGCAGTATGAAGTTCAAACACAGTTACAGGCTGTAATTACAGTGAAACTAAATGTGTTTGCAGCTGTCAAATCCAAACTTACTTCTCTCTATCTTGTTTCTCAGTTACTGTATCTCATATCAGGTGAAAATACCAGTTCATCAGAATAACCTGGCTTTCTGCACTGAAATGATGACTAAATTACTGCATTATATTCACTCATAATTGTTCTATTAGAGTAACGCATATTCCCGCAAGACAGTGCGCGAGCAACAAGATGGCGGCCTACAGATACAGCTCATAGTTTGCAAATACGCCTTACCAAAATCCAGAGCTTCAAACAAAAGCTGCGATACACATAGAGGTCAGTGACATCTTACAGTCCATTGACAATAAACTGTGCGATGCGAGAATCTCACTTGTTGAAGTACTCCACAAAGAATTCCAAGTGCTTTGTGTCACGACTGGCTCAACATCATGACAAATCAAAGGGAAGCACACAGTGAATATGAAACAATGATTTTAATGGGAAATAAACTTAAGGGTCTGGTGCAAAAATCTCAAGGACAAAACTGTAGGCCAAAATAAACAGAAGCATAATAACCAAAATAACAAAAGAAAACTGGCCCAAAAAACCAAAATGCCCAGGACACAAACAACGAAACAAAAGAGGAGCTCCCCCACAAGCACCCCACACAGGTGTAAGTAGTGTTCTTGATGAGGCCTTCAGCCCCACCCACTACAACTCCACCTGTAATGGCACAGGCCTGTCACATTTGTGATAGCCTGGAGTTCAGCCAGCAACAAATCACTGAGCTATCTAAAGAAAACAAAATCCTACAGCATTCCGTTAACAACCTCACGTCCCACCTGTCAACCGTAATAAAAGAAAACAGACAAATGAAGGAGACAATACTAGAGCTACAGGCTCATAGTATGAGAGACAATGTCGTCCTTTCTGGCATTCCTGAAAATCCATCCAAAGACCCCGAGAAAACCTTATAGGAATTCTTAACCACCAAACTAAAACTCCCACCCGATACAGCTAAGAACATAACATTTTACCGCATCCACCACCTCGGAGGGAAAACGCCCAAAACAAACGTCCAAGACCCATTGTCGCCAAAGTGGAGCACTATAAACATAAACAACTAATGATGAGCAAAGGAAAGGTGCTCAAAGGAACAAACTATGGGATTAATGACCAATTCCCTCGCGAAATATGCAAAACTCTTCATTGTAAGAAAGCAAATGATAAAAAAAAGGTAAAAGAGCAGTTATATCTGTGGATAAGCTGTATATTAAAGGGAATTTATTTAGAGATAAGGACACGACACCCTGGCTATATTAAAGAAAGTGTGCTAAGGATGAATGTTCTGTATGGGGAACTAAAGACATTCCTGTTCAGTCTGGATCTGCTGAAGATCAGAGATTCTCTCTGGATGACGAAACAGCAGCCAGAGTCTCCACCATCACTGATCTGAGAACAGAGGATGCAGGAACATACTGGTGTGGGATAAAAAGGACTAAAGCGCTTACTGATCTTTACACAGAGATTCTATTACTGGTTAAAACTGGTGAGTGACAGTCAGTTCAGACTGATATCAGTGGTTAATAAACAGAGAAACAAATACAATACATTTTCCTGTGTAGTCAGTGAGATATTGATGCTATGAGGTGAATTAAATTTATGCTATCCCTATATATTTTCTTTAGATGCCCCAGCAGAGATTTTATCTTTTCAAATTAATAGTGGATTATACCATTTTTCTAAATTTCTGTATAATTCAATCAAGAAGAAAGTCAGAGTGGTTTGGTGTGAAATTGTTTATTATACAGAAACTTACAGACTGATTCCTTCAGAGTGGTGATGAGAGAAACCAGTGATTGGAATGTGTACAAATACAGATATTTTATTAACTATACAAAAACATTTTTGTCTCCTTTGGTGTCCTGATAATGACATTTCTGTAAGGTGGCTTTCACAGGCATTAAACTCTACAGGCGTCTGGTTCCTAAAATCAGTCTGACTTAGTTTGATCTTAATGATGAGAGTCTGATTAATGTATGAAATAACTGAACTTGAGTGTCAGAAGAAGAGTGTCTCTGTTTTCTGTTCCACAGGAAGTTCTGGTGACAGTGTTCTCTTCCACTCCACTCCATCAGTCTACATCAGTACATATGTGAATTCCAGGCTCACTCAACTGCCTCCTTCTCCTGATACAAGTAGGTTACAAACTTGCCAACATAAGAATTTTTACTAGCAGCGTTTTAATGAATGTTCATAGTTTATGAACAAATAAAATTAGTCAAACGGTTCTTTAATCAGAGGAATACTGAGAATATTTAACTCAGCCAGGCTGTCCATGTGGGGCCGATGTAGGTTTTAACTGGGCTGTGTGTGTTTTACCTGAGCCTGAGCTTGTAGAGGGTTATGAACATGAGCTAACAGTTAGACTACAGTCATGGACCTCATTGGGGTCACAGTGGTTGGCCCAGTTAAGCTTCCCATCCTTATCCATGTGTAGGTCTCACATGGGCCCTATTTGCAATAATTGATTGATTCATTGTTGTTTCTGGTAGTTGATAATGTCCTGTATGTAGTTTCATAACATTATGAATTTAACACAACTATGGCAGAACTTAAACCTGATTATAACATTTAGTCTACTGCTGTGTCTGCTATTCCAGCCTGCTTTATTAGATTTAATAGAACATTCTAGGCACCTCCCACTTTAAAAAGCTTAAAGCGAGCCTTCAGCTGCTAAAGAGTATAAAGTTAGTGCTCCTTAAGATAATTTAACACAGCCAGCTAACCAACTGGCTAGGTTAACTGCAGCTAATTGTCTAACATTGTTTTTCTTAGCTGTAAGTAATGATATGTTTTAGTAATTTATATTTTGTTGATGCAAGGAGCTTAATTAAATTACATTTAATTAAAATCAGGTTCATTTGGAGTTTTAATACAAATATGTAAAGAATATGCTTTGCAATATGCAATTTGTCAGATAGCCAATAGGCTAACAAGCTCCCCAGATTATTTTCAGATTTAAGCTTTGAGTTATTTGCTTAATGATTAACTGACAATTGCAACATACCAAGTCTAAAAAAAAGTTATTTGGATGCACTTTATCAGCTTTGAAAGCTCATTTTAAAGCTAGGATTGTCCAAAGTAGGTTTAAACTCAGTGTGGATAAGAGACTGTAAACCACTGTCAGCTTGGTGCTAACATAAAACTGTTTCCCATTGTTGGAAAATAGCATTTTTGCAGCAAAGGCTGCTTATAAAGTGTTATCTGTATTAAGCATGGCATATTATTTGTATGTGCCACAATTAAATATTTATAAGACAAAAAAGTAAAAGCTTAATTAAAATACTGTCTCTGAGACATTTAATCAACAAAGTCTAAAAATGTTGGTACTTGCAGATAACCTGCTTAATGTGGCAACTTATCACAATAATCACTCTTTAAAGTTGACATTTGTTCTGTTTTTTTTTCCTCTTTTATAAGATGTGAAACAGAAGACTCATAGGTTACTATACTGTTATTAAGATGGAAGTATCACAAAATTACTTCTGTATTTTTAGTGAAGTGCGCTAATGAAAATATGCTGACTTGATGTTCTGTGTTTGATTATGTTGTGATTGAAAAGTGATGCCTGTTGACAAATACACATCGTGGAAGGGTTGGTGCCATTTAAAGATCAATGTAATTCATGTGATCACATATCTGGGGCTCAGGTTTACAGCCCATCTTGCCCATAAGAGCTCCACTCTTGGCTCCATTAGTGGCCCATATGGATTAATATGAACAAGGTTTCATATTAATTAATCATTGTTGGGCCCAACTTGGTTGCCCAAAGGCGTCCTAACTGTCAGCCTACTGTTAAACCCTGAGGGAGACCCACGTGGACATATTGGCTGGGAATGCTTTAGCAGGGTCAATTAAATATCTATAATCTTTGAGGCTTCAACTCTGTTTAATCTCTGATTCCAGGTTTCATGATTCTGTATATCTGTGTTTCACTGCTGGTCTCAGGAATCATTCTTGGTGTTTTGGTCTTATTCTGTAAATGCAGGAAGCCTCAAGGTACATTAGACAGTTTCTCATCTGCCACATTTGAGTACAATATTCACTATTTTACATGCTCTGCTATTATGCTCTCTTTGTCATGAAACATGTAGGCAGTCAATGTTATTTCAGTATTGATGATGATATTGATTTCCATGATATACTCAGAAAATAATATTGTGATGTATTTTAGCCCTTCCCTACATAAAAAATAAGCAAACAACAACAGCGACAATGTCAGCAACAAAACTATCATTTATTCATTTTTTCATTCAGATGTTCAAAGCTCAATTACAACTCAGAGAGATGCAGGAAGAGACATGGTAATTCAACAGTGAATGTTTGAAATATATTATATAGCCTATGTGATCATTATGCTGGTAATGATATTTGGTTATTTTTATAGGATGTAATTGATTATGAAAACGATGCACCTGGAAATCAACAATCCATGACAACAAACCCAGTCTACCAGAGCCTAAACTCCAACACCAAACAATCAGATTCAGTCTACCAGAGCCTAAACTGCTGATATCGATCAATCCTGATACTCCATCTCTACTAAAGTCAGAACACAGATTCATACTTTTTGCAGCCTTTCAGTCATATTCCACATTATTCCCTCTAGAGGTGGATGTTTGTAATTACAACAAAATAGAGATCAAAATAGAGATGTCCACTCTCTCTAATACTAATACAGCAGTCACCACCTTCACCCAGAGCACTGCAGAACCTGCAGAGTTTAGTTCCATTGTACAACATCTGATACAGTCTTCTGTAGAGGATCAATGACCTTTAGCATTATTTTTACATCCTCTGACATTTTCAATTTGATTATTTTTACTCAAATAATCACATGAAGCACATTTGCATGTCTCAGTGCTCTGTTGGAATCATTTTGGTGTGCACTCAATCTGATAATGCTTACAAAATGGAAATCAATTAACTGCTACATTTGCTTATACTGCTACATTTGTTCATATCTCAAAACTGTCAAATTAAGATTTAATACTTCTGCAGAAAATTAAGTTCCCAATAAGTGACAGTGACAAAAAAGGTTACTATACAAACACCCACACACTGCATACTGCATAATTTTAAACACACAACTGAAGTTTCAAAAAATGGTAAAACAGAGATGATTGGAGATAAATGGAGATTTGGGTTTCAAATGCATCTAATCCAACTAATGATTTGATATTTATTAAAAGTGAAAAAAAAATGAAATATTAAAGTGTAAAGCTTTTATCCTCTTCACTACTGACAGTTCAGTTTCATGCACAGTAACAACAAAGAACAGCTCAACACTTCAAGAGTTTCACTATTTTCTTACTGTGCTGTAAATCACAGAGATCTTCCACATTCTGAGTTGGTGACCTACAAAACAAAGAAGTTGAAACTTTAACCTTTAATGTCTAAAAAAACAGAAGTTTAAGAAAATTAGTTTATCAGAACAAACCATAACTTCACACTTTTCCATCTTTAATAAACATGTTCACCACTACACTACATTTATTTAACAACACCGTGTTTATCCAGCAGATGATGCTGAGCTGAGAACTGAATTATTCAAACAGTCCATTTAGATTTACAGTGAATTAGTAGAATTATTATGCCTTTATCTTTAACTTTATCAGCTATGTCTTCTCAAGGAAATAGCTGTAAAGAAACATATCAAGCTAATAACTGGATAACCAACTGTCTGCTAGTTGCTAAGCAGTAACTAAAGTTAAGCACTTCTAATATAAGATTTTATTAACCAACAGAGGGAAAGTTTGGGAAATGGAATGCACACTGCAGACTACTCCTAGATTGGTGCTAAAACAACACTGGAAATCCCATAAAGGTGCTTACAGGAAATATTTTATTTCTAAGCCTTAATTTTCTCTTTTACTAAAAAAGTTTCTCTGGGCTGCTTTATGTAAAAGCTCAGTGAAACTCACCCAGTGGCAGCAGTGTGGTGGTGGAATGTAACACTGGCATATTGGGGCTCCCCCTGTTGGTCATTGCTGGTCACATCATCATGCTGAATCCCGACTGTAGCATACAGAACATCATCAGCTCTAGAGTCAGCAGAAGCAGCAGCCTGTACAGGTCTGGATCTGCTGTGTGTAACGGTGCTGTAGAAGACATCATCCTGAGAGTGAAGCATCCATAGAGAACAGTTTAAATGTCTAATGTTCTGAAAATGTGACAGAAAAGACTCTTATCTTACAAACACTTTCTTGAAGTGTTTCAAAGGTCACCTAGTAGTCGACATAATATAAGGTCATTTGGATTGTGCCATATTACCTGTACTGTACTGTACTGTACTGTACTACTATTATTTTGTGAGTTCAGACCATGCCTTTACCATGATGGTAGTATGAAGGAAGACTAATTGAGGGAGGGGGAGAATTCTGAGAATTTGAGCAGGAGTTCTGAGAAGCTCCCCCCCCCCATTGCTGTAGTGGGGCTGATGTAGGATTGAGGAACAGGGAGGAGATAGGGAGGTGGTGGGGATTGTGAACGCTTCATCACAGGAACTGAAGATGAGGACGTGAATTTATAGGGTGTTAGATCGAAAGTAGGAGGGGTTTCAGGCATGTTCCTCCCTCCAAACTTCAATTATAACAAAACTACATTTTGGGAGTTCAGACCATGCCTTTAACATGTGGTGGTAGTACGAGAGAGAAAGACTGATTGAGGGATGGGGGAGAACTCTGGGAACTTCAGGGCTGGAGTTCTGGGCAGGATCTGCCAGTATCTAGAAGGCCAGACCCCAAAAACTCCAGGATGATCTCAGAAACTGTTGAGAACTGTTGAGAAACTCAGAAACTAGGACTGAATGATCTCCACGTGATGAGAAGGACAGATGTCCAGAAATCTGTTTTTCAAGAACTGATCTGAAATGACAAACACTGTAGCAGGTTGGGTAGAAACTGGTATAACTGTATGCCAGTGGAATATGGAGGAGCTGGGTTCAGAATCAGGTTGGTCTAACATTTGAGTATCTGAGGCATAGTATGGTTAGTATGGTTCGGTAGAGATCAAAGCAGAAAAGTGTAGATACAAGGCAGAAAAAATACTATTTAGGTCTAGTTACATTAGCCATTTACATGGTGCTTGGAGTAAGTACTTTGTCTATTAAAGTTGTAAGCTGAGATGTAAAATGGAGCAAATAAATTTTACTCGGTGTGACATGGTGGCACGCTGCATAAAAGACATCCAGGTCTGAACCCCTGATGAGCAAAGGGTGACCAAGATGACAACGGCAAGGAAAGTGTAATCTAAATGTACCTGTTTTGGTTCACTACAATCAGTTCCAGTGGCTCTTTTCGTCATTCTGTGAAAACAGGATCAAATAATGAATACATTATAATTAGTTTAAGGGCAAAATTCTTTTATATGTTAATACATTGTTACAAGGCCTAACAAGTCCCTTTGTCACATGGTAGGAAGATTTGTGCTGCATTTTACTGAACTGCAGATGCAGATTAAGACAGTAATAAGGAGAAAGATTCCTCCTCCCACTGCAATCCAGACTGCAGACAAACTCTGACCTGCAGCAGAGAAGATCATTTATGTCATTTTTTTTCTGTCGTTATTTTAAAAGTCGACAGTGGAATATATTATTTCTCTTTTTATTCACCACCTACTCTTAACAGTGACCATCACAGTTCCATTCTGAGCTCCATGTTCATTCTGAGCTTCACAGTAGTACAGTCCAGTGTGGTCAGCAGTGATGTTGATGATGCTGTCATTCTGTCCAGATCCTACAGGTGAGGTTCCACCTTCTTTAAACCAGGTATAATTCACAGGTGGGTTTGCATCACTGCTGCAGGTCAGAGTCACTGAACTGCCCTCTACTATTTCACCAGAGGGACTGATGGACACTGATATGTTCTTTGGAGGATCTATAAATACAAACTATTTGATTTTCTTTAATATTAGTAGTTTTTAAGAATCAAAATATTCACAGTAGTTTTTTATTTTTTTTTTTCAACTAGTTGAGATTTAACAAGCAAGAAGATTTGCATGCCATTTTTCAGTTTCTCTAAATATTGCTGACTATGTTATCTCAAAAAAATAAATATTACTACTAATAATACTACTACTGCTAATAATAATATAAATAATAATAATATAAATAAATAAATAATAAAAACTCACATCTGACTCTGAGGTTGTGAGCAGTAGAGTGGAAATGTTGATATCCTCTTACAGCACAGCTATAACTGCCTGCATCCTCACTGCTGACTGTCTGCAGGTGGAGCTGGTTGTTCTTGATGGTCTTTGTGGTTAAAGGACGTCCATTTTTGTACCAGATGAATGTTGGGTCAGTCAGACTGCAGGTGGTTTTACATGTCAGATCTGCTGTTTCTCCCTCTGTCACTTCTCCAGGAGTTTCCATATGGAGCTCTAAGACACTAAGAGGACCATCAGATTAGGAGAGAAGAGATTTTTATTTTTCAAAGTTAGTAACAAGTGCAGATTTAAATGTCCTAAATGATGTTTGATTTGCAACAATCAGCCCTAACAAAAATATAATATAACTGAAGTGTGCACTGCATGTTTAATGATGGTCAATCAATATAACAAAAATATTCAGCAGCTCATGAGACATAAAGGGAGTTTTTGATCAGGTAGTAAAATCTATGGCAAAAGCTTAAATGTCTTTAAAGTGTTAAAATTACAGTGATTATAAAGAATAAAACATAACATGAACAAAATGTAGCCTCTTATTCAGATGGTGAAGGTGATTATTTTTAATAAAACACTGGCTGCTTGAGTGACAAAATTGCAGAATATTAGCTTCTACTGTACTAGATAAACAATAATTTGTATGGAACTGTACATATTTACTGTATCAGTAATGAGCTCATTTTCAAATGTGATCTTACATAACTTTGATGAATAAAGTCCAATGAAGAAAACATGGGGGAAAAAAAAATGTTCATAAAATATTCATGTAGACTTTGTAGCATTTTTTTACAGTTTGAATAATTTGTAAGTTATCTTTTGCATTGTGCAATATTTTGAAAGACAAAATAAAGAAAAGTTAAAAATGTTTATCTCTTCTCTTTTAAAATGACCATTTTTGAGACACCAGTTTTTGTTCCCACAGTGATAATGTTTGTGACGGATTCCTTCTTTTCTCCCTCTGAGTGTCTGTTTCTTCCCCTCTGTTGTAGCCATGTGTCTTTTGTTTTCTTGTACCATGTGTTTTTGTTGTTGCTCTGAGTCTCCTCCCTGGTCCTGCCCCCTTGTTATCTGTTCCACCTGCTTGTAGCTCCGCCCCTCATTAGTCCCAGGTGTGTCTCATTTCCCCTCTGTGTATTTATACTCCTGTGTTTGTTCAGTCTTCGTCTTGCATTGTGAATGCAATCTTGTCTCTTGTTTGCTTGTAGTTTGGTTTTGTTTTGTTTTCGTTATGGACTCTCATTTCAATAAAAACTCGCATTTGCATCCCGCCTCCATGCCTCAAACGTTACAGAATGCAAGACCACACAGGGAAGCAGCGAGTTTGCAGGACCTTATCAAGGAGAATGAGGTCAGACTTCAGGAGAGCTACCATCTGCTCTGTCGGCTTCAGCTGTTGCTCCCTAGTAAGGAGAAAGCCTCAGCCATGGACGTCACAGCAGGCCCGCCAGCCTCAGCCATGGACCTCACAGCAGGCCCGCCAGCCTCAGCCATGGATGTCACAGCAGGCCTGCCAGCCTCAGCCAGGGACGTCGCTGCAGGGCCGCCAGCCTCCGAGGACGTCGCTGCAGGGCCGCCTGCCTCCGAGGACGTCGCAGCTTCCCAGCCTGCCTCCGAGGACGTCGCAGCAGGCCCGCCTGCCTCCGAGGACAGCGCTGCGGTCCAGCCTGCCGCCGAGGACGTCGCAGCAGGCCCGCCTGCCTCTGAGGACGTCGCAGCGTCCCAGCCAGCCTCCGAGGACGTCGCAGCGTCCCAGCCAGCCTCCGAGGACGTCGCAGCGTCCCAGCCTGCCTCCGAGGACGTCGCAGCGTCCCAGCCTGCCTCCGAGGACGTCGCAGCAGGCCCGCCTGCCTCCGAGGACGTCACAGCAGGCCCGCCTGCCTCCGAGGACGTCGCTGCGGCCCAGCCTGCCTCCGAGGACGTCGCAGCAGGCCTGCCTGCCTCCGTGGACGTCGCTGTGGCCCAGCCTGCTGCCGAGGACGTTGCTTCCAAGATCCCTGACCTGCTGGTAGCCTCTACATCCCCAGACCTGCCAATGGCCTCAGCGTCACCAGTCCCAGTTCCTGCTCCCTGGGCCACTCCTGCTTCTGCACCCTGGGATGCCACAGTTTCTGCTCCTGCACCGTGGGCCACTCCTTTTCTCATTTCCTGTCCTGGTTCGGTGCTGGCCTCTCAGCATTATGCTCCGCCGCCAACCTCCCAGCGACCCCCTCCTATGCCAATCTTTCAGCGTCCAGTGACGGCCTTCCAGTGTCCTGCTTCAGTGCCGACTTTCCAGTTCCCTGCTCGGTCTGCCACCCAGTTCCTTCGCCTGCATGAACTTCATTCTGTGTTTTCCCCCAAGTCTCTAGTCCATAGTTTTGTTTTTGTCCCTATAACCATGTATATATCTGTACCCGTCTCAATCAGTGTTCCTGTTTCTGTGTTTGGTCTTATTATACCCATTCCTGTCCATATTTCTGTCCCTGTTCCAGTAACCATGTCTGTTCCTGTTTCCATGTCTATGTTAACTCCGTCTCCTGTTTTCACTCCACTTTGGTTTCCAGTCTCATCACTGTCTGGTCCTGTCCAGTTGCGTGTTCCATCTCTTGTCCAGCCCTTTGTTCCGTCTCTTTCCGCTCATGTCTCATCTGTCTCGTCCTTTATCTCATCACCGGTCCAGTCCCATGTTCAGTCTACTATCCATTCTCGTGTCTTGTCATTTCAGGAGTTTCCTGTCCATTCCCCTATCCAATTTCCTGTGTACTCCTCTGTCTGGTTTCCTGTCTGTTTCGTCATTGTCCCTTGTCCAGTCCCTTGCATGGTTTAGTGTATTACCCCGGTCTAGTGTCCTGCCCCCTGTATAGTTTCTTGTTTATGTTCATATGTTCTCCCGGTCCCTCCTCCTACCCGGCTCCCACTTTAGATAGCTTTCGTTTTTCGCGCCTCGGGAGCTGCGTGTTAGGAGGGGGGGTTCTGTCACGGATTCCTTCTTTTCTCCCTCTGAGTGTCTGTTTCTTCCCCTCTGTTGTAGCCATGTGTCTTTTGTTTTCTTGTACCATGTGCTTTTGTTGTTGCTCTGAGTCTCCTCCCTGGTCCTGCCCCCTTGTTATCTGTTCCACCTGCTTGTAGCTCCGCCCCTCATTAGTCCCAGGTGTGTCTCATTTCCCCTCTGTGTATTTATACTCCTGTGTTTGTTCAGTCTTCGTCTTGCATTGTGAATGTAATCTTGTCTCTTGTTTGCTTGTCGCGCTTGTAGTTTGGTTTTGTTTTGTTTTCGTTATGGACTCTCATTTCAATAAAAACTCGCATTTGCATCCTGCCTCCATGCCTCAAACGTTACAATGTTATTTATAACATTTGCTGAAGAATTATTTTCAAGGTTCAGAACTTATTGAACGTTCTTTAAATCAAGAACTTTTAAAAGATATTTTTCTAGGATTTGACGTGGAGAGGGTCAAAATGAAACTCATCAGATAAACTGAATCAGGAGTAAGAACAGAGAAAATGTTGTAGGAGTGAATCAGAACAGAACCTGAACATCATTAGAGCAGATCAATAAAATCAGTGATGAAAAAACATGAATATTCAGAGCAGTCATGAATCAGAAACATTACTCTGAAACCAGAGCTGTGTCTTATAGCTGGACAATGGGATGATTAACTCACCTGTAACTCTGAGCTGAACTCCAGGTTTACCCCACCATTTTCCTGTTTCTTCATTTGTTATGATTCTGAAAACATAATCATGTTCTTCCTTCTTCATCACATCACTCAGTTTGAGGGAGAAGTGTTTCTGTTCATCAGTTAAATACTCAACTCTGCCTGAATAATCTGGGTCTTTAATCAGATCAGTCAGCTTCACACCCTTAACTGGGTCTATGAACCAAAAGGCTGCTCTCACTGTAAGATGTTCTGGGTGAGTATAAGTTCCATTCATAAACACTGTGGATCCTTTTAAAGCACATATTTCCTGTTGGTTGTACTTCACACTCCACTCTGTTCCAAAAGCTCCTGAAACATATGATGCATGAAAGAGCTGATTACAGAGTCTGGAGCCCATAAGACAGTCAGAGTTACTGTAGCTTACAGCTTCACTTCTCTCCTCTCTAACTCCAGCAGCTCCTCTACAACACTGAGCTGATTCTGAGACAAACCACAACAAACACTGACTCACCAACAGTCATGAGCAGAAAGATCAGAGGAAGAGGAGGAGCCATTCTCAATGACCTCATCACAGCAGCCTTTTTATTTTGTCTTATTATACGTTTTTTTTATACTTATTGTATTTTAAAAAAAACAGTGATTAAAGTGACATTCCTGAGTATTTATGACCAGCAGGTTCTTCACAAGGGAAGGTCTATACTGAGCAACATGGATCACCTTCTTCATTCAGAGCTGTTCTCCCCCACAGTGCAGATTTAAGGCATCTTATTATGTTCCTCAAACAAAAACAGAATTTTGCGAACATTTTATTTACAATATATTTGTTTTTATGTTATTTCTTAAGAATCATGTGATCATGTATGTTCTCCAGACTTTCCCCCAAAACAATCCCACAGGAGACAATAAAGATAAACTGAACTTCTTTGAAACTGAAATGGTAGAAACATCAGTCTAAACACAAATACCTAAGTATGCACTGTATCTTTTTCATAAACTGTTAAAATATTCTGAATCAAACTTATATCTTACTGTTCAGTAAAGAAGCTCCTCTTCAATATCCAGATGATAAACGGTGAGAACAGAGACAGAACTGAGATGTAAAACTAGATGTGGTTAACAGATAAGTAGACAGATGAAACTCCCAGAGTTATATGTGGTCATCATAGCTGCAGCAAGAGATGAACTTTACCTTAAACTTCTGCAAGATGCAAAATTATTAGTCATTTAATCATTTCATCATAATTGTGTTATGGTAATCTGATTGTAAAGAACACAAACTTATTACATTTTGAAAACAGCTATTAAAGTGACACTTCTGGGTATTTATGACCAGCAGGTTCTTTACAAGTGAAGGTCTATATTGAGCAACCTGGATCACCTTCATTCAGAGCTATTCTCCCCCACAGTGTAGATTTAAGACATTACATTTGTTCCTCAAACAAAACAGGATTTATCATACATTTTATTTGCAATATATGTGTTTTGTTTGTTATTTCTGAAGCATCATGTGATCATTTATATTCTCCCGACTTTCCCCAAAACAGTCCCACATAAGACAATAAAGATAAACTGAACTTGAAACTGAAATGGTAGAAACATCAGTCTAAACACAAAGACCTAAATTTGTTCTGTTCTAGAAGCTCTTTAAAACTGGACATGCACTGATGTAGGACCAGCTCCTCTTCTTCTCTGCTACTGTATGAAGCAGTAATGATCACTGGTGTGTTTATCAGTGCTGATCTCAGTACAGTGTTACCCAGCTGATAGAATAAACATCATCAGATCATCTGAAGAACAGAGTGACTGATCTGCTGAATGTTCTAGGACAGTTTTTAAGGGATATTCCATTACTGTATGAAGTGAAATGTTTTAAATGAGACCTCAGATGGGTGAGTTTAATTATTTGTGTTTAACTGACTAACAATGTCAGAGTTTGTTGGCTTAAAATGTATTTTGACCCAGAAGTGATGTAAGTCTAACTCTGAGTGAAAATCAATCAGGTTAAAGTGGTTTAATTAAGTAAAGTCAACATGTCTGCTTCTCTGTCTGATCATGTGGAAGAAAAACACTGGACTTTTCCTTTCCCTGCTTTCTTTCAGGCTGATAAACAGGCAATGCAGTGTTTTTACAGAAACTTACACTGCTATTTGTAGCTTACTTTTTTTGTTAGCATGTTGGTTAGCATGTTAGCTCGTTCATTACTTTGAGGTTTTGTATATTAGCATGTAAGCTAGCATGTTAGTTTGCAGTTAGCGCATTCCCAGATAACAAGTATATATCAGTCTCCAGGCTGGATAAGTTCGGCACCCAGCTGACTGTATGTCACTACTTGTCCACCATCATACATTGACGGTCTAACTAGTTTAGATGTAGTGTGATATTCTGCTTAATCACAAGTGGGCCACCTGGACAAAAGCTGAGGAAATTGACCAGAGGGCTGCCACATTTGCCATCGGTGGGCCAATAGTGGCCCACTACCCTACTGCAGAATGGGTTAGTTCAGGCATTAGCACATTTTTAGCAACTTAACTAGCATATTAGTTCATGGTTAATGTGTTAGCACCTCAGCTAGCATATTAGTTGACAGTTGGTGTGTTACCACACTAATTAGCATTAGTTTATATATGTATCTATCTATCTATCTATATATATATATATATATATATATATATGTATGTGTGTGTGTGTGTGTGTGTGTGTGTAAGTAACTATAATGTACTGTTTTTGGCAAGTAAAGGACAAATAAATCAAAGCCCTCTGAAGTTTTCACATATTCCTTTATGCAGCTATAGAACATGACATTACTGATCCAGGTTCAAGATCATGGAGTCACATTAAGAAATTACTTTTAATTGTGATTCGCAGGCCAAAGGATCTTCATTGCTGTTAAAGTTCTTGAACAATAAACGAAAGCAAGAAGGCACAATCATGGACTGCTGTGTCATCAGAGCCTTGGAATTGCTCTAATCCCCACCCTCCACAGCACCCTTTTACAACACTCTTGTCTTGCGACCATGTCAATATTGTTTCTCCAGGATATCTTAGTGACTACTGTTTGGGTCTTTGGGCTTTTTAATGGGAAGTTCATGGTTCCTCTAATTGTATCCCACCATCTTGATGTTTGACTTTTCTCACAACATGCCCAAAATAAGCTTCAGTTTGGTTATCTTTTCAGAATTGACCCAAAGAAGACTGCTGGCCCTGACAACATACCTGGCTGGGTGCTCAGAGGATGTGCTGACCAGATTGTAGCTGTTGTAACAGACATATTTAATGTCTTTCAGAGCCAGGTAGTGTCCAACTACCATCCCTGTGCCAAAGAAATCAACTGTGTCTTGCCTCAATGACTAACATAGTGCTCACTCCAGTCATCATGATGTGCTAAAGAGCAGTCTTGTCCACACTGGATACACTCCAGTTCACATATCACCCTAACGGGTCTACAGAGATGCCTTATTCTCTGTCATTCACCTTTCACTGACGCACTTGGACAAAAAGACAAAAAGAATCGTAAGAAATTTACTGGACTTTAGTTCAACATTCAACACAAGCACCCTTCAACTTACTTATTGGAAAGTACAGACCATCATGATGAGCAGTTCCACTGTCTGGTATGGGAACTGTGCCGTCTCAGATGCAAAGGCCCTACTGCAGATTGTGAGGACAACTGAGAAGATCATCAGGGTGTCTTTACCCACCACTGACACTTCCTACCAAAAACGTTGCACCCACAAGGCCACCAGCACTGTGGATGACCCCTCCCACCCCTCTCTTGGACTCTTTACCAGAACATCCATTCCACAGACTCTGCAACAGACTCTGCAACAGCTTCTTCCCACGAGGCAGTCAGACTACTGAACACACTCTTGTAGACTGATCACACAGGCCTTCATCATCACTGCACACCTGCACTTTAACTTCTTTAAGTCTTAATCTTTCAATGATGCTATTTGACCCCAAGTGTATTATTTTGCAGTCCTGTCTAGTTACATCACATGTTTTTGCCATGTGTATTTATTGTTCTGTACATTTATTGTTTGGTGTATTTGTTGTATATCCTGCACTTGTTCTACGCTATTGTATATCTGTACTTTATGTAGTCCTGTGTCATGTCCTGCTATTTTGTGATGCACCATGTGGCCTGAAGAATAACTTTGAGATCAATAACATTAAAACTAATGAATATGTACATTTGTGAATTTGTTTCTGTTCCTGTGGTCTGTTTGTAGTATCAAGCTTGGCTGCTGCTGCTGGGGCTCTCATAGCTTGTCTGAGGTTACTGAGTGTGCACATTCATATGTGTCATTACTTTAGCCTGGCCAGGTGCTCAGAGGCCACGTCGGGGTATGAATGATGTCATTTTCTCTGAAAGTATGAGACGAACTCCAGCAGCAGCAGCACATATTTTCTGCATTCTACTTTTAGAACTGAACTCATGATGATTGGAGTCTGATATGCTGATTACCTTAATGAATCATTGTTGTCTATAGTTACTGTCTTTCAAAGGGGATCTTTGTTTTCTGGACATAGTTTATGCTGATAAGTAGGATCCCAACCCTGTTCCTGGAAATCTACCACCAGTTTAGTCTAATTTCAGTGCACCTGATGGTGCCGCCCCAGAGACAAGAGGGCCTCCACCCCAGTGACATTTCAATACCTTTTTTTCTGAGAGTGTACAGTATCAGGAGAAAATCATCATTACTCAAAAGAAAATACTACATGACCTGCTGATGACCTTTTCAGAAAGCAGGTCCAGATCTCACTCTGTTCTTCAGATCTGATCAAGTTTATCCCCAGTGACTTGTTAATACTGTACTAAGATCAGCACTGATAAACCCACCCGTGATAAATACTAAACACTGCTTCATGCAGTGACAGGAGAAAAGAAGGAACCGGATAAATTATGCTGGAACATGCTCTGCACAGAAGACATTACAAACAGCCTTAATATTAGACATAAAAATAAAAAAAAAGTCATAGTTTTACTAGTACATAACTTTGCAGAAGTTTCAAGTGAATCTTTTGCTGCAGCTAAGAAGGTCACATGCTTCCTGTAGGAGGACGTAGCATGTTAATGAGCCTGGGTATTTTTATTGAGCATGAGAACTTACAGCTAAGTGTTGACCACATGTAAATTAAAGTACGTCAGTGCTGCCTGTGTTCTCACCATTTCGCATGTAGACGCCGGTGATGAGCCTCGTTAAAGGACGGTAAGATCATTTCTTTATGTTAAAACATTTTTATTCACCATTAGAATCATAAACATAGTTTTAGGTTTTTTAGGAATGTTTATTCAGTGCTAGGAAATGCTTTTAGATTCAAAGCCATTTCAGTGAGAATGGTGTTTTTCTTGGTTACAAATTTTAGCCTTGGTCCATTAGGAGTCTTCATCAAGCCAATATTTGAATTTTCCTACAGAAAACACTTAAGTAAGATATTCTAGGATGACAGTTAATTCCACAGGCAAATCACTTCATTT